GTGTACTTTTCTGAACAACCGGCCTTGACCGTGTATCCTAGTGGTGTCTTTGTTTCATTTAGTTACAGTACATCTGATCGTGTTTCCACGGCATGGTATGTTAGGAGAATATAAACCATAACGTAAATATGCTAAACTTGTCATTCTTGAAGTCAAGAAACGTTTATATTTCTGCCTGTAGCCTTTCGGTAGTGTGTAGAATGGAAGACTTTAATAAGTTGGAAAGCATGAACATTCTTTGCAGCATGCCAAGAACTTTCTTCAGGACCATATCCTTCCAACGAATGAGATATTCCAGAGTCCCTCTTTGTGTTTGTGAATTCATAATCTCCTATACTTCATATTCTACTTCAACATCTATAATTATTGGATTGGGTGGTGGTATATCGCAGGCAAGGAAAGGATTTTCTTTGGCATGTTTTATCAGAGAAACATTGAATGAAGGATGAATACGATATTGACAAGACAGGTCTAATCGTATTACAAAAGGTGTAACAAGCTTGGCAATGCATAAAGGTCATCTGAAACTGGTGTGAGTGAAGGAGTCCCAGGAAGGGTAATTGGATGAAATCCATAGTTTAACACGAAAGGAGAATTGTGTGTGGAATCATGGTGTTTAGGGTTGTAAGCTAATTCAGCAAACTCGGCTGTAGAAAGTAAGTCTTTCCAAACAGATTGTAAACAAAACAAAAGCAGAAAATATAAGTTTCCAGAGTCTGGTTCATCCTTTTGGTTTGTCCATTAGATTGGGGATGAAAAGCAGTTTACCTAAATCTTAAGGGACTGACAAAACGGTCTCCAGAAATAGGAAGTAAACTGTGTGTTCCCTCTCTGAGAGGATAGATTTGGTATTCCATGTAGTCTGAAGATATTTCTAAGAAAAAGGGAAGAAGTTTGTTTGGCTGTAACAGTGACAAAGTTTGCATTTTGGTCAGATGGTCAACTATGATCATAACAGTGTCATAGCCATGTGAAGGAGGTTGGTCTACAATGAAGTCAACCATGAGATGGTTCCAAGTTCTGAATGGGCAGACAAAGGTTGTAACAATCCAGCTGTTTCAGACATATTAATTTTGCATGGGCACAAGTGACACAGGTGCTAACATTGTCTTTGACATCTTGTTTAAGAGAGAGACAACCGAATTGTTGTCTGATACTCTGAAACATCTTTCTTTGCACTCCATGACCAGCCAAGAAAGTATCAAGAAAGTGGTTTAATACTTTCAGTCAAGTCTTTTCTGATACATAAATCTTTCCATGTGACAAAAGATAACTCTCAGATGAAGTTGAAAGTATGTTGGTGGTGCAGTATTCTGAATTTCCTGTAGAGACATGAGGCAAACAAAATTACGATTCTGTAGAATGGGTTCAGTTTCATCTTGTTTAGATTTTTGATTATCAGAGGTGTACATTCTAGAGAGAGCATCTGCCTTTTGATATTTTGGATACACAGCAGCCCTGGAAAAAAAAATCTATGCCAGCCTCTTTGTGCCATGTATTGTGTGTATTATATATATTGTATTATATATATTATATTGTGTGTAATATTTATATATTACTCAATCATCTGGGGTGGCAAGACATAGTCTTACATATTATTGGTATATTTCTTTTTCTAATTCAAAATGTTGGTCCTTTCAGCATAAAACATTTAATTTATAAAGTAAGCATGCGCACATGCAGACACGGACAATCTCACTGACACAAGCTCATTGATACACAGGCTCACAGATAGACAATCTCATTGATATACATAAGCTTATTGACAGAAAAACACAAGCTCACTGATGCACACAAAAAGGCTCACTGACAGACAATCTCACTAACACACACATACAAGCTTATTGATACACACACAAATTTAGTACAGTCAAACTCTGACACACACAACCTTACTACAGACAAACTTAGTGAGCACACATGCTCACCACAAGCAAGCTCACTAATACGCACATACTCCCTACAGACAAGCTCACTGTCACACACATGCTCATGACAGACAAGCTCACTGACACACACATGCTCATGACAGACAAGCACACTGACACACACACATGCTTCCAACAGGCAAGCTCACTGACACACACACATGCTCACTACAGACAAGCTGACTGACACACACTTACAAGTTCACTCATTAGCAGGCTGTCACGGTTCTCATCTGATAGACAGACGGCAAGACGTGGTCGCTCTTGGAGTTCCCAACAGGGGACTTGAACCGGGGATCTTCTCAGTCCTGGTCCTGCTTTCTACCTCTGAGCCACAGCAGCTATTTACAGTGAAGACTGATTCCAGTCCTGTTCATCCTGACATGGCTACTACTCTGGGGGCTGCACCTTGACTTGGCTGTGTTTCACCTGACTCTGATCAGTCATCAGCAGGGTATATAAACCCAGCCTCGCCCTGTGCTCAGGATCAAGTCTTTGATCCTGTTGTGTGCTTTGTACCAGTGTTCCTGTTGTTTGAACTGCTACTTGTTATTGACCCCGGCTTCTGACTACGTTTAATCTGATCTCTGGCATCCCTTGACTTCGGCTACTCCTCGTTGTTCCTGTCTTCTGGCATCCTTTGACCTCGGCTATCCTTTGACGATCCTGCTGTTTGAGTCCTTGCCTGTCTTGCGACTTGGTACTTCATCCTGCACAGCCCCCGTGCACAGACCCACAGGCCGGGTGAATTCTTACCTGACCACCTTGGCCTGTGGCTATCTGCAAGGGTGAGCAACATATCTGCGCTACAGACTCCCAACCCAGGTAAGACCCTGACACAGGCACACACACAAGCTCACTCATTAGCAGTCACACTGTCACGATACCTGTCCCTCATGGCACCGTGCTATCACAGAAATTATGTATTTTAGTTCTGATGTAGTTCTGATGCACACACATTTATCCCTAACTTCCTGGTGCCTTATTATGACATCATATATAATGTGGATCCCTCCCATTAGCCTCCTTTTATAGTGTCAGCCCATGTGTTGCTTTTTGATAACGTGTACAGACTTGTGACATCACGGTCCTCTGTGACCAATTTCAACCCAATATATGGTATATATTCTTCCTTGTTTCCTTGCCCTGTCATGGTTTTTGTTACCTGAGAGTGTGTTTATACAGTGTATTGGATTTCCTGTTTTCTGACCTCGGCTTGTTTGACTATTCTTGCTCTCTGTTATCCTAATCTTGGCCTGGCTATCAATTCCGTGTATTTCTGTAATTCTAACCTCTGCTTGTCTCTCGTTTATTCTCTGTCTGCTTGCAGACATTTCATTTATTTGTCTCAGGCACTAACTCGGCCACTCTAAGGACCAGTACGTGTACCTTTAATGTTACCTTTAGATTTGCATGTTAGGGTAACTCTATTCCTGACACACACACAAGCTCACTCACTAGCAGGCGCACACACACAAGCTCACTCACTAAGAGGCACACACACACCCACACACACAAGCTCACTCACTAGCAGGCTCATACACACAATCACTCTCATGGGTTAAAGCTTACCTGGCACTGATAGGTGAAGTTGCCATTTTGTGGCCTTTTTCTTCCAGTGAAGTCAGCAACTTGCGTGCGGGGGCGGAGCATGTGTGCGGGAGGTAGAGCGTTGTTCAGGAGGCGGGGCTTAAGTGCAGGAGTGTGGTATGTGGCCAGAACTAATGTAAATTTTAAAGGGAGACTGACAGGTCTCCCTCCAGCTGCCAGCAGCCTATTTGCAGCCGCACCAGCCCCCAGCTCTTCCCTCTTTAGTCCCCTTGGACAGACACAGTCTGGCACAGTCCTAGGGGAAAATATTTAAATTACATTAGCCTAACAATTAGAGCTGGCTGTGAGGTCCAAGGTACCGCTGCCCCCCGGGAAATTTCCCGGAATCCCGGTGGGCCAGTCTGGCCCTGATAGTGACATGGTCAAGCCACTTACCCCTGGTAAGTTTTTGATTTCTTGGGGCAGGTATTCACCGTATGATGAGGGCGCCCACAATAGAGACACAGATTCTCCCTACTTCTTCTTTGTATTACATTGGAAGTAATCTTCCCTGCATCAGGAACTTGCATAGGTTCTGTTAGTGCTGAAGAGGTGGATGCCTTGGAGGAAGACTTAGGTGTATAAGAGGTGGCTTTGAATACTGAAGTATGAGTCGCTGCTCTTTCTTGTAGCCGTTCTCTAAGGTGTCAGTCCAACTGAATTGCTTGTTTCATAAAGGCTTCTAGAGTATTAGGTATACCAAAATGGGCGAAGTCGTCTTTTAGTAGATCAGATAATCCCATACGACCCCAGCTAAGGTCACCTCTGAGTTAATGAAAGGTAAGATTTTAGGGCTTGGGAAATATTTGTGCACATTTTAGTAAATTAATATTTTTGCAACAATTAATTTATTAAAACTTGTTAAAGCATTTTCAGGATGTCATGTAAATCAGAAGCAAACTGAAATAAAATAAATGGCTTTTAATGTTCCTTTACAAAAAAGGGCAGAAGGATGGATATGGTACGAGTTTTTCTGACAAGATAAAAGCATATACAGATTTGACATGTGTATAATATGTTTGTACATACAATATATGCAATCAATATTTGAACTTAGGATAAAAGACCGAAAGCAATGCGTGAAAGGTTGTAGAGATTTCCTCCATTGCAGAGTTTCACCAGAGAGGTCAGCATAAAATGTAAGCAGCATATTTTCGGACGAATATGGTGAGAATTCCTTTAAAGCGACCTGCACTTCTGCCTTATCCCAGACACTTGTAAAGCACACTACAAGGTCCCTGGATGCCAAGTCAGGTGCTCTACAGGGCTTCGGGACTTGGCCTTTTTAGGCATTAACAATGCCCCAAGCAGTCTCCGCAGGAAGTGGGGGAGTTCCGCAGTTGGAACCTCTTCTGAGATACCTCGGATGCTGAGGTTGTTACGGCATCTTGTATCTTCCAGCAGGGCAAAACATTGCTAGAAGACAGCCTGCTGTTATATTAAATAATACACTTTATTTTCGAGGGAGGTAGTCTTGTGAGCGTGATCTTCTGATGCCGTCTCTACTATCCCCACGTGGACCTCAAGGCCTGTAAGGTCAGTGCAGAATGATGCCACATGTGCCTACAGAGTTTCTGGTAGTCAGCAAGCAGCTCCTTTAGATTGGAAGTTGTCACAAGCATGGAGTCTGAGGCCAAGGGAGAGAAGATAGGTCCATGGCTCCACTACTTAGCATCGACTCCTCTGAGGGGTCTGAAAATCCATCTATGTCGGCGGCCATCCTGGGCCCACAAGAACCATGCGCTTGCTGAAGGAGTTCTTCAATATTCATGTCCAATCTAGGTTTGTTTGGTTTTGTTTTGTTTTTTGGTCTTGTGACCCATGGTAAGTGCTAGCACCAGATTCCCCTTTAGAGCGGCTTAATAATGCTATAATGTGTTGTTATAAAATGGAGCCCATCAAGCAAGTGTCCATGCGGTTCAGCTGCTTGACCCCAAATCCTGAAAGATTTCAATTTAAACCTGAAATGCTGCAAAATAAAAATTAAGTTTAATTGTAAGCAGCATATTTTCGAATTGGTGGAATATATATAAACAAATGAAAATTCTAGCACTCTACCTGAAAAAATCAATTTAATATTCTAATCAGACTACAGTGCTGTACAGCGCCATATGTATAGGATAAACAAAAAATGAAAACACGATCTTGATGAAGACCCGGTTGGGTCAAAACATTGATTTGTGTCATGCGAACTTAATACATTGAATTTATTTTTCACAAAACCATCACATTCATATATGTATGCACACACGCAATTAAATAATTAAACAAGAAGCATCCATAGTGAGATGAACCATATAATTGTGTGAAGGCTACAAATTGACCAGATCATTATACTACTTTTGGTAGGGCAGTTACACCCATTCAATATCCACACACTGACCCAGAGGCATGGTAAACCCGCTGTACACTGAAATCTAAAGTCATTTATATAATTTAAATAAATCATTAGGTCAGGCAAATGTTTTCATCTTTTTTTTTATTTTTTATTTTTTTTACTGCATCAAGCGGTCAACAAACTGAAAAACCCATATATAAAAACTGCCTTTGGAACTTTGCTGCTAATGAAAAGGAGACTTCAATTTATTTATGGGCTTTCTGTAACCATAACTCAATGTAGCATGTTAAAGGGAAAATAGTTCTATCATCTGAGGAAGGACTGCTTCTCTAATGGGGGCTTCAGACAGTATTCAATCATATTATATTTATGTGTGGTCACAGTATGACCCCAGCGGTCATAGACACAGCCCTAAAACATAAAGACAATTACAGTTAGAAAAATCTGATATTGTTGGAGCCACAAAAATATACAAACTTTGTCAATTCCCTTTTCAGTCCATGTCAAAAGATATATATATATATATATATATATTATTTTTTTATTAATTATAACTTTCAGCCCACAGTATTTATTAATAATAATAAAAAAATAGCAGTGCACCACAGTGCACCCATTTGCATCCCCTAAACTAATTAGTCTAGGCTCCAGTTGCAAAAGGTTCCAAATACAATCACACAATACAAGTCTCTAGAGAGGAAAGTGGGTGTTAAGGCAGAAGGATTTCAATGATGTAGCTCCTGACTGCAATGTTTCACACAAGCATTGCAGAAGTGCAGTTTGACATTTGACAGATTGAGTGTAATGTGCTGAATTTTTGGCATTTCTTCCAAATCAGTCTGGAAACCCCTCTTGTCTCAGTTGGACACCCCTCTCTCTCTTTCTCTCTTTCTCTGCTCTTAGGAGTTTTGGGAGAAAAGGGTTAAATAAATGTTTGTGATATGATAAGGTAGTTGTTTATGTAAAGAATGACAGATTATTGGCTCCGGATACAGGCACTGAGACACAGCACAAAGAAATTGGCGCTCCCTTCTGAAATGATGTGATTTCCTCCAAGGTTTTACTATTTAGGAGGAACACATTGCTCTGGGAATTTATTCTGATAAATTTTTTTTTTTTTTTTTTCCCTGACAGCCTACAAGATGATTTCTCAAGTGCTGGAGCCCTTAGAAGTGGGAGTTCGGATTCCATTTGTGTTAGTGTAAGTTCATGCTTGTTATGGTTAGTTAGTCACATGCACTAAAACAGAGCTGAAATGCAGTGCAAGGAACAGGGTTCTCTCAAAAAGGACGAATGCAGGTAGTGGAGACTGTATTACTGCTAGGCAATTATACAAATATGCACAACATGATAGATGAGCGGAATACGTAGTATTAAGGTGTGCATTTAGAGAGAATTAGCATACAAATATTTATTTACAAAAAAGGTAAAAAAAAAACATTTTGCTATAGATATAAGAAGGTGTATACAGAGACCATCGTCGTTTAAAAAAAAACAAACATAAAAAGTTAACAAAATACAGACTCAACTGCTAGAATGTACTATCGGACACCTAATTGGCATTTTGGCAGACCAGGCTTTGAATGTGCAGTGCACAGTCGCTTCTTGTCTGTCTCTTTTTTTTGTCTTTTTTATTTTTTCCCCTATTTCTTTCTACCCCTCTTTTATCTTGGCTCATTTGGTGACTGTTAATTCTTATTAAAATGGTGTCTGTATAGAACTACGTTATGATCTGTTAAAAAAAAATAGACATAATCGAGCACAGGGAAAACAATTTATCACTGGTTTATGGCGTGTAGTGTACTCTTACTGTATATTGAACCCCCCGGCCCGTCAGTTTTGTCTGACTATAGCGCGTTACCGCCACATCCATCTTCGTCGCGCCACAACGATCGCAAGACTCCTAGTCTTTTTACAGTGCATAAATGACCCAGTGGGGACCAGAATAACCCTGCTGGTCCAAATGGGGGGTTAATGGGGCTCCAAGTGTTTCGCTGCAAGGTGCATGTCTAAAGGCAGGAGATCAGCTGCTTCTTCAAGCTGTCAGCGCACCAGATTCACTAGGCCTCAGGTTCGGACTTGGATGATAACCCACGGAATTCCCTGTTTAGGCTTAGTAAGATGTGCTGGGCTTGTAGCTCAGAATCTCTGTAAGCAAGATTATTGGCAATATAAGTGTAGTTATAGCCAGAATAGAGGGGTGCTACAGTTGAACACTTCTAGCTATGTTAGGTCAGGTCCCGCACCCCACTTGCAATTTTTTATATCATTTTTGCCTTATTTTTCTGACAGATCTTATTATCTCAGGACTGCCATTTTCCTAGTTCCCTCCATGAATTCTGTGGGCATGCACATAAATAAGTATAAATACGTTTTCTCCGGATGATTCTACCACCAGTGATTTATTTATTTAATACCTTTAATAGCCGACAGCCCCCTGCCCTGGAATTTCTCACCTGCAAAAAGGGAACCATTTAAATAAAATGTAGTAAGGTAAATGGTAATGTAATATTATTGTGTTGACTCTTTTTTCTTGAATTGAAAAATGCTAATAATACACTATTGGCATTTTTCATTAAAATCTGAATGGCCGCATACTGAATCGGGCAAAACCATTTGGTTTCATACAGGGTAATTTGCACTGCACAATCTAGACTTACTTAACTATACCATAGTCTAAATTAGTTCTGGATTTCAGCCTGACCAAAAATCCTCATCTGAATGTTCAAATATGGACCTGGACTGCTAAAATTCAGACCTAAAATCCAAACTGTTTACCTTTATTTCATAAATCGACTTGCTTTTGTATAACATGCTGTGTGTGTTGGCCTAAGATGCCAATTTTGCACAGAATTGACATTAGCTAGCTCGGAAATTTGTTCAAGGCTAGCTAATGATGCTGCTGGAGATAGAGTTATACTTCTGACGGCAAAGGGGTTAGTCTCTATAGGTGCAGTATTTCAAAGCAAGACGCTATACATACAAAAACCAGGCACCATGAGCTCTTCCAAACACTGAAGTGGACATTGTGCTTGGAGTAACTCTTTAATCTCAGAAGATAATTGTATCTGGTAGACGTGATATATTTTAAGATCATTTTTGAATCGTAGGTTCAGCAAAGTTGAGAATTACCATCTGGAACAATAGTATACAGACAAATACATGCTGACAAAATTATTTATTAACAATCTACAATTTGATTGTTAAATTATAGTGCTAAGTGAAAATTAAAAAGCATTATCAGTTAACATGTTTTTGTGATATATTATTACCATATATACTCAAGTATAAGTCTAGTTTTTCAGCACATTATTTGTGCTGAAAAACCCCCACTCGACTTATACTCGAGTCAGTGTCTGTATTATGGCAACTTACATTGCCATAATACAGACCAGGACCGCCGGGCTCATTACAAGCCCGGCAGTCCTGTTGGGGGCTGGCAGAGAGCTTTTACTTACCTTTCCTGCAGCTCCTGTCAGCTCCCTTCTCCTGTGCTCCGGTCAGCTCCCTTCTCCTGTGCTCCGGTCAGCTCCCTTCTCCTGCGCTCCGGTCAGCTCCCTTCTCCTGTGCTCCGGTCAGCTCCCTTCTCCTCCACTGTAAGTCTCGCGGTGTGACTGCCGCGCGGAGCGTGGCAACTCTCTGACTCCGCGGCTCTCGCAAGACTTACAGTGGAGCTGACCGGACCGGAGGAGAAGGGAGCTGACAGGAGCTGCAGGAAAGGTAAGAAACAGCTCTCTGCCAGCCCCCCTCCTACACAGCCCATCTACTGGACCACCAGGGAATGAGAGCCCCCCTCTCTGGCCAGCTAACAAGCAGGGAGGGGGGACAAAAAAAAATGAAAAAAAAATAAAAAAATATTACAATAAAAAAAGTAATTATTAAAATTAAAAAAGTAAATAATTAAAAAATAATACTAAAATAAAAAAATTAAAATATTAAAATTAAAAAAATGTAAAATAATAAAAATGCCCTCTCCCACCCAGTTCACACACAAACACACACTCATACAAACACACACTCTGCATTGTATACACACACACTGCATTATATACACACTCATAAAAACACACACTCTGCATTGTATACACACACACTGCATTATATACACACTCATAAAAACACACACTCTGCATTAAACACACACACTCTGCATCATATACACACACACACACACACATACACTCTGCATTCACACAAACACACACACTCTGCATTATATAATGCAGAGTGTGTGTTTGTATGAGTGTGTATATAATGCAGAGTGTGTTTTTGTATGAGTGTGTGTGTATATAATGCAGATTGTTTGTATGAGTGTGTGTGTGTGTGTGTGTATAATGCAGAGTGTGTGTTTGTATGAATGTGTGTGTATATAATGCAGTGTGTGTGTTTGTATGAGTGTGTGTGTATATAATTATAAAAATCACAGAACTTCATAGCCCCACGTTTTACTCTCGACTTATCCA